GCAGGCCCCCCCTAAAACTCTCCCCCGCGGTTGCGCGCGCCGCGGCGCGAGTGCTCGTGGCGCCCCCTCATCCCCCGCCGCGACCCCCCCTTCCCCACCCGCAGGTTCTTCCGCGTCGCGCTCGCCGCCCCGATGCTGTACGAGTCCAAGGCCGCCAGACTAGACACCTCCCCGACACCTCCCCGACACCTCCCCGACACCTCCCCGACACCTCCTAGCGATGCTGTATGAGTCCAAGGTGCCGAGATGTGGCCGAGATGTGAACAGACTTTGGTGTGAACAGGCGGACGGCTCGCTCGCCGCGCACGCCACGCAGACCAACCTGCGGCTGGTCAAGGACGGCTCGCCGCAGGGGATGACGGTGCACCACGACCACTCGCTCCGCCGCGCGCTCAACCGCGGGCAAGACTTCCAGGAGGGGCCCGCAGACCGAGTTCATATCTCCCCGTACCTCCCCATACCTCCCCACACCTCCCCACACCTCCCCACACCTCCCCACACCTCCCCAAATCTCCCCACATCTCCCCACATCTCCCCCTACCAGGAGGGCCCGCAGACCGAGTTCATCGAGGACCACGGCTTCCTCATCGAGAGCGACAAGATCAGCACCGTCATCGACCCGCGCGCCTCCTTCACGCTCGAGTACCTCGACATGATCATGACGATCCGCGCCAAGGGGTGGAAGGTGCTCTTCGTCCCCACCGCGCGGCTCGAGTTCCGCATCACCGAGTTCTCGTGGCGCGACATCCCGTACTTCATGTACAAGCGCTCCGAGGCGACCGCGCACGGCACGCGCGACTACCTCAAGGCCAAGTGGCGGGCAAACTTCCCAAACACGGGCTTCTGGACCTACATCAAGTACACCATTGTCGAGCAGCACGTGTACGACGCGCACTACCTCTCGCCGCTCGCGTGGAAGGACCAGGCGGCCCGGCGACACCTCTGGGACACCTCCGGGACACCTCCGGGACACCTCCGGGACACCTCCGGGACACCTCTGGGACAACTTCCGGGGCACTCTCCTCGACACTTCGTGGACACCTCCTTGCTCACACCTCCTTGCTCACACCTCCTTGTTCACACCTCCTTGCTCACACCTCCTGTTGAGAGACCAGGCGGCCCTCGCCTTTGGCTTCTTCCAGATGGCGGGCTACAACCGCTACTCCCTCACCGCCAAGCCGGCGAAGCCGCCCGCAGACTTCCTCGAGGTGCTGCAGCGGCTCGACCGCCGCTGGGCGCCGCCCTCGGCCACCCTCTGCAGCCGGCAGCTCGCCCGCCCCGCGGTGAGCGAGACGCGGCCGGCGTACGTCTCCCACCTCGACGAGATCCTGCCGTACGGGCAAGGCTCGGGCGTCGAGGCGGACTTTACGCATGAGTATCTCCCCTCGAGATTACCCGAGATTACCCGAGATTACCCGAGATTAGGCGGACTTTACGCACGAGTACCTCCTCGTGTGAACAGCGCCTCTTCACACCTCCAGCTGTGAACAGGCGGACTTTACGCACGAGTACCTCCCCTTCGCCGTCGCGCGGTTGACCGTGCCGTCGTGCGACGTGCTCCCCGCCGCCACCGAGGCGGTCTGCGGCGTCCTCGTCGAGCGGACCGACGGGTGCGACTGCTGGGTCCACATGCCAACCTTCTCGGAACCTTCTCGGAACCCTCTCGGAACCTTCTCGCCAGGTGCGACTGCTGGGTCAACATGCCAACCTTCAAGTCCAACTCGCTCTTTGTCCGCGCGATGTCGCTCTTCGCCGCCGCAATCAAGGCGCCCCCC